CTTCCTCTGTCAAAGTCTAAGGCCCATAACCTACCTATTATGGGCCTCATGAGTGCTGCTCATCAAATATTTCCACTTCCACCTCTTCCAACACATGGCAGGATTGTATTTTCTGGGCCCCTTATGATCAGGCGGGACCTGGTTCTGGCAAATGAGTTGTGGGTGGAACTGATTTGTGCATTTAACCACCAGTACCTGATGCCCCAGAGTTTTTATGCCCTCTTGAATGCCGACTGACCATATTTGAGATGGTCAGCTGCTCTATCAGCCTGGGTACCCTTGTCAAACCCACAGTGGTCCATGAGCAAGAAATAAACTTGTGTTGTTAAAAATCCAGTCATTAAAGAGAGCAGGACTTACCTGGGTCCAAAATAGCTTGCGAGCAAAGCCAAGGGCACCAAGTGTGTTGGTGGGGAAAATTCTTGGCCCCCAGCTTCCCAGGCACATTAAACAGCAAACCCCCTGGAACCGTGGTATTCAGAAAATCTGTGCAGAAAAGTTGGTAGGTTAGCTGTCCCAGCACTTTGTTGTTGAGGGATGGGGATTTGGGCAGCTGAGGAAGCAAGTTTCCATCAAGTATTTAGAAAAGAGCAGGAACTTGATCTAAGATAATGCCAAAATGAGTGGGAACAGCTAAAGCCAGATTTTCTCCTTGGTGCTTGAAGGCAATCTAACAGCCCTAGGAGTCAAGAGGGTGTTAGGTGGGGACTTTGGGGTGAAGACTATGTGAGATGAAAGGGCTTGGGCATTGCTGTGGTTTCAGTTTTCAGATGGAGTTGAGTGTGGGTACAGCAACATTGAAGTTACTATTTTAACAGAATGCTTCAGGAGACCAACAGATCATCAGAGTGAAAGTCTTCTGCCCAAAAGGGTTGTTGTTGTTCAGTCGCTAAGTTATGTCCAACTGTTTGCTACCCCATGGACTGTAGCATGCCGGGCTTTTGCATTCTCCTGGAGTTTGCTCAAGTTCATGTCGATTGAGTTGATGATGCTATCGAACCATCTCATCTTCTGCCACTCAAAAGGGAGAAGCTTCTAATTCTGGCAGACCCAGGACACCCCCTTCAGTAAACCAGAAAATAAATGCTTTTCTCCTATTATACATAATAAACATGAAGCTTTTCAGTAAAATGATGGGCTTAACACCCTTTAATGATATGAATGCCATGAAAATGAAAATGTGCTCAACCTTGTCAGTAATCAGTAAAGTGAAGAGCAGTGATTTGTACTGGTGTTATCAGACTGAATTCCCAAGTTTGTGCAGGCTCTACTGAAGTATAAGCTACATTTTTTCCTGCTGGACTTAAACTTGGATGGATAGAGGGTGATGCTGTTAAAATCTTGCCACCATGAAGGGAAATGGTGCTACATTTCTGTCTGAGAATGGTGCTACACCAGAGGAAGGAGACACTAGATGGAGAGGGGGAGGGGGAGAGAGATCAGGGCCTGACAATACCATTGTAGTCCCAGGATCAAGCTACACCTGAGGCTGGTACTCCTCTGGACTTTGCAGTTGAGTGAGCTAAGTTTGAGACTGATTTTCTACCTCTGGCAAGAGTTCTAGCCAACAAAAGCATAGTATTAGGGGAGAAGAGGCTCATGATATTTGTCACTTATGAGTGTTTACTGCATGCTGTTACAAGCACTTTCTGTGTATTACTTCATTTAATCCTCCCAACAAGCCCATGAGGTAGGGTACTGTTGTTTTGGTTGCTTTGGGTTCTTTGTGGCGACATGTGGGCTTAGTCGCCCCTCACAGCATGTGGGATCCTAGTTCCCTGACCAGGTATCGAACCCGTGTGCTCTGCCTTGGAAGGCAGATTCCTAACCACTGGATCAGTGGGGAGGTCTCAAGGTAGGCCTCTCTTGTCGTCATTTTACAGACAAGGAAACTGAAGGAGCTGAAGGTTCAAGATCACACAGCCAGGTTTGGACCGAGCTAGTCTGGCCCCAGACCTTGTACTCTTAACTGCTGTCTCATCAGAACTCTTGCTTTCTCTGCAGTTGTTCAAGGCTCGCTTTGCCTGAAGGTCTGTGTGCGGAGNGCTGAAGGTTCAAGATCACACAGCCAGGTTTGGACCGAGCTAGTCTGGCCCCAGACCTTGTACTCTTAACTGCTGTCTCATCAGAACTCTTGCTTTCTCTGCAGTTGTTCAAGGCTCGCTTTGCCTGAAGGTCTGTGTGCAGAGCCAGTGGGATCCTGGACATTCAGTCTACGAGGAAAACCCACATGGTGTTTTCAGATTCATTGTCTTTCTACATTTAGAAGCTGATGATGATTTTCCATTCTTCAGTAAAATGCTATGGGATTATTTTGGTAATCAAATGTTTGTTGTTGGGAATGAATAAATTGTTCTCATCACCAGATTTGGTCATCTCACTTTGAAGTTGCAGAAGCAGGGCGCCGGCTTGTTCACAGTGGCATTCACTTCCACTTTGTAACCTCATATAATATATGCTGACGGTCTTTCCCCATTTGTAGTCTCTGGGAAGATGTTATTTATGATCCCTGATGCTAGAGGAAAAAAATTAGGTCACTACCTCACACATCTTCCTTTAACCATCCAAACACGTGGTTCACTAGGCAGAGATGCATTTTCTGAAGAAGAGAAAACTGGCTCTCTCTATTTTTTCCTCTTCTAGTCTAACTTTTCTAAACCAAGACTGCCGTGTTCTCAGTTGTTTGCAGATAGCATTTTGAAATGATGTCAAATGTGTTTCTTTTTCTTTTGTGAAGTAGGTGAGCGGCAGCCTCTATTCAGTGGTAGCTTCATTATATTTTTTTATAAAGTGCTAAAGTTCTTTAAAGGGCTTCCCAGGTGGCTCAGTGGTAAAGAATCCACCTGCCAAGCAGGAGACATGGGTTTGATCCCTGGGTCGGGAAGATCCCCTGGAGAAGGAAATGGCAGCCCACTCCAGCATTCTTGCCTGGGAAATCCCACGGACAGAGGAGCCTGGCAGGCTGCAGTCCATGGCGTTGCAAAGAGTCGGACATGACTTAGCAACTAAGTGCAAAGTTCTTTAACCCCTGAAGCACTGAATCCCTGCATCTCATCTCCCTCTTGCCATTGGAGGACCCCCAAGCGGCCTGCTCCTTCCGCTGGGGGCCATCCCCTAGATGCCCAGGGTTTGCACTGCACTTTGCACACAGCGTGGGCAGACAGACGTGTGCATGTGAGCTGTTTGGAAAGCTCCATCTCAAACACTGATGTTTCGTGGTTGACACCTTATGAAGAGAGTCACGGATCCACCTTGTTCCTGCCAAATTATATCAGTGTGGAATTAAGCTTTTTTGTTTGTTTGTTTGTGTTTGGTTTGGGGGAAGTCATAGTCTTTTTGAAATAATATACTTTGTTGTTTTTTAACAAAATACACAGACCCCATGGAATGTGTTTTTTGCTTCTTATTGTACCATAAAATTATGTGGAATTTTCATTTCTTGTGAATTAAAAAACCCCTGTTACATGAAGATCAATTGTTAAGCCCTTTTAGAGACCCATGCAACATTTATTCTCAAAATATTTTACATGGGGGATACTGATGGAGCATGTAGGTAGAGACTTTTGAGTTGGATAGAGGTAAAAACCAAGGGGTTTACTTAGTAGTTGTGAGACTTTGGGCAAAATAGTCCCTGTTTTTGAACCTCAGTTTCCCTCCTCCATAAAGTGAGGAAAATAATACCTCTGTGCAAGGGATGAGGAATATAAGTATCTGAGGTGTTGTTGTTTGGTTGCTAAGTTGTGTCAGATTCTTTGCAACTCCATGGACTGTAGCCTGCCAGGCCCCTCTGTCTATGGCATTTCCCAGGCAAGAATACTGGAGTGGGCAGCTGTTTCCCTCTCCAAAGGATCTTCCCGACACGGGGATCAAACCCAGGTCTCCTGCATTGGCAGGCAGATTCTTTACCACTGAGTCTCCAGGGAAGCCCATCTGAGACAGGAAGCATTCATTAAGTGATAATTGCTTTTTTATTTTTTATTGACACATAATTAATTTACAGTATTGTGTTAGTTTCTGCCATGCAGCAAAAAAATTCAGTCATACCTATGTATTAATTCTCTTTTAAAATATTCTTTTCCATTATGGTTTATCACAGGATATTGAATATAGTTCCCTGTGCTGTCCAGTAGGACTGTGTTGTTTATCCATCCTGTGTATAAATAGTTTGTATCTGCTAACCCCAAAGTCCCAGTCCCTCCCTCCCCCACCCCTCAGATAACTGCTTTTATTATTACCCTCTCTTGTGGCTTTTCCCTTTACGTGCGATTCCCATAAGAACTCAAGTACCAACCATTGGCTTAAGATGGGGAAGCAGGGGTAGATGTAATGTGACGCCCGGGAATACACTGTGTCAGGCAAAACTTGATCAAAGTTAGGACTCAAACCCACACCAAGAACAAACAGATACTGGAAGCATTCATTTACTTTCAGAAAGATTCATCTTTAAACTATAAACTTCCCTCATTCATTCACAACTTCCAGTTTAGGCTGCTTTGGGGAATTTATTCCAGACAGTTTGGGATCTGTTCTCCGGACCTCGTCCTAGACACGGAGGAGATGGGGCTTCTTTTGAAAAGTGAATTTAAGGTAGAAGTCGGGATGTAGCTCGTCCATTAGAGGAGCCAGGAGACAGATGAGAGGTGGAGGGGAGAGGGGTGGGGAGCGGGACTGGGGAGGGGCAGTAAGGGGAAGGGGAACCGCCTACGAGGAAGGCGCATGTCAGGGTGGGAGAGGAGAGGAGAGAGGGACCCCCAGCTGCTAGATGAGGAAGGCCACGAGCAAATGGTTAAAATATCGCTCACTTCTATTATATCATGAAAAAATGGCAGTGACCAGAGCTGCCTGGATTAGGAAAGAAGGCTGTAATTCCATCTTGGGGCTTCTGGTGAATTGAGCTTGTGGTTCTGTGGTTTATGATGTCACCAGAACCCCTGGCTGGAATTACAGCCTTTTAATTTACAACTTGGTAAGAGGGGAGGCCGAGGGTCCATCATCCCTGTTTGAAATGTGGTGGGGACCCCAGGGTCAAGGTCCGCCGGGAAATCCAGACTGACCCCTTCACCCTCGGTGGGCAGGTGGTCTCAGTTAAGCCCCTTTGCCTGTTCTGTCCTCCATCTTTCATCCATCTCCCCATCCCTCCCACCTCATTTCTGTGAGTTGCACAGCTTGATTTTCCCATGATTTATTTTCTAAAAAACCCATGTTAGCTAGATTCCTCTGGCCTTCATGCTCATTAAGTTCACAGTTCAAACCTTTCCATCTCAAAACCCACCCAAGAAAGACTCAAATGTGATATATTTGACTATTAAATACCCCTGCAGTGAGTTGGGGAGCTCATTTCTATCTTTTCTTCTGCCCCCAGCCTCCCACTTCAGCATACATGCCCAGGTCTGGAAGTGATGGGAGCGCGTGGTCCTGCTGGTCCAGTGGTGCTGCCTTAAGAGTGACTGTTCATAGCCTCCTCAAACATGGTGCCATCTGGTACCCCAGTATCTTTGGTTAACCTAGTTCCTCAGCCTCCATTTACTATTCTTCAACATTTAATAAAGGTTTTCTGAATATTTATTATGTACCAAGAAGCCCTGGCCTCAGATCTGGGGATATAATGGAAAGCAAGATAGATATGGCTGCTATCCTCTGGAAGGCTCCTCCTGCCTGCTTGGCATTATAATTTTGAAGTTGCAGAGATCTCAGAGTTATAACACCCCAGCCGTTATTTCCAAATCCGCCCCTCCTTAAGGGTTCCGTTTCAGTGTCCGCCACTGTCAAGCCAGAGATCTAGGAGTGTCTGATTTTTCTTTTTCCCTCATCCCCAATATCCAAGCAATTGGCTAGTCCTGTCCATGGTACCTCCAGGATAGAACTCTTCTGGATCACTTTTATCCATTTCACTGACATCATTTTACTCCATCAGCTCTTAATGATTGCAGTAGCATCCCAATGGCATCTCCCGCTTCTTTATTATTCTCTCTAATCCAAGAGTTCTCAAAGTGGGGTCCCCAGACCAGCAGTAGCATCAGCTCCTCAGAACTTGTTAGCATTTCATATTCTTGGACCTCCCTCAGACATACTGAATCAGAGTGTTTGGGAGTGGGGCCCAGCAATCTTGAGTTTTACAAGCACCCCAGGTGATTTGGGTGCAAGCTTGTGTTTCAGAACATCTTCAATCCATCCTCTGATCAGAACTCTGGTCCTCTGACTAGGGCTTTTTTTTTTTTAATGCATTCTCTTCTTTTTAAAAATTTATTTTATTCAAGTATAGTTGATTTACAATGGTGTGTGAATTTCTGCTGAACAGAGAAGTTATTCAATTATATATATACATATATACACATTCTTTTTCATATTCTTTTCCATTATGGTTTATCACAGGATACTGAATATAGTTTCCTGTGCTGTACAGTAGAATCTTGCTTTTTTATACCTTCTTTATGTTGTAAAGGTTTGCTGATTCCAAACTCCCAATTCACCCCTCCCCACCCCCCTGAATTGGCAACCACTAGTCTGTTCTCTACATTTGTGAGTCTGTTTCATAGATAAGTTAATTTGTATTATATTTTAGATTCCATCTGTAAGTGATATCATATGGCATTTGTCTTTCTCTTCCTGATTTACTTCACTTAGCATGATCATCTCTAGGTCCATCCATGTTGCTGCAAATGGCATTACTTCATTCTTTTTAATGCCTGAGTAATATTCCATTATATATACATACACATTTATTTACCACATCTTCTTTATCCATTCATCTGTCAATGAACATTCAGATTGTTTCGATGTCACAATTCACTGTTGTGAGTAGTGCTGCTATGAACAGAGGAGTGCATGTATCTTTGAATTACAGCTTTCTTCAGATATGTGCCCTGGAGTGGGATTGCTGGATCACATGGTAGTTCTATTTTTAGTTTTTTGGGGAGCCTTCATACTATTCCCCATAATGGCTGTACCAGTTTACGTTCCCAATTCTCTTCTTTTAAAAAATTTATTTTATTCAAGTATAGTTGATTTACAATGGTGTGTGAATTTCTGCTGAACAGAGAAGTTATTCAATTATATATATACATATATACACATTCTTTTTCATATTCTTTTCCATTATGGCTTATCACAGGATACTGAATATAGTTTCCTGTGCTGTACAGTAGAATCTTGCTTTTTTATACCTTCTTTATGTTGTAATGGTTTGCTGATTCCAAACTCCCAATTCACCCCTCCCCAGCCCCCTGAATTGGCAACCACTAGTCTGTTCTCTATATTTGTGAGTCTGTTTCATAGATAAGTTAATTTGTATCATATTTTAGATTCCATCTGTAAGTGATATCATATGGCATTTGTCTTTCTCTTCCTGATTTACTTCACTTAGCATGATCATCTCTAGGTCCATCCATGTTGCTGCAAATGGCATTACTTCATTCTTTTTAATGCCTGAGTAATATTCCATTATATATACATACACATTTATTTACCACATCTTCTTTATCCGTTCATCTGTCAATGAATATTCAGATTGTTTCGATGTCACAATTCACTGTTGTGAATAGTGCTGCTATGAACAGAGGAGTGCATGTATCTTTGAATTACAGCTTTCTTCAGATATGTGCCCTGGAGTGGGATTGCTGGATCACATGGTAGTTCTATTTTTAGTTTTTTGGGGAGCCTTCATACTATTCCCCATAATGGCTGTACCAGTTTACATTCCCACCAACAGTGTAGGTGCGTGCAAGCAAGCTAAGTTGCTTCAGTTGTGTCCAACTCTTTGCGACCCCATGGACTGTAGCCCATCAGACTCCTCTGTCCATGGGGTTCTCCAGGCAAGAATACTGCAGTGGGTTGCCATTTCCTCCTCCAGGGGATCTTCCTGACCCAGGGATGGAACCCATGTCTCTTGCGTCTCCTGCATTGGCAGGTGGTTCTTTACCACTAGCACCACAGCAGTGTAGGAGGATTCCCTTTTCTCCACATCCTCTCCAGCATTTATTGTTTTTAGACTTCTTAATGATGGCCATTCTGACTGGTACAGAGTGGTACCTCATTGTAGTTTTGATTTGCATTTCTCTATGCAGTCTCTTATTTACTCACATCTTACAGATGAGGGAGCTGAGGCCTGACCTTAGAAGGTAAATTGGATTGTCTAACTTCCAAGCTGAATACCCTTCAGAAACTTCCCACTGCACTTAGAACAAACACTGCATCATCTGACTCTGGCCTCTCTCCCCAGCCTCCCATGAGCGATGCTTTTCCTTGGACTCACTTGTTTTCAGACATTGTCATCTTTAAGTTCCGTGAACACACGACTCCGTTTCCAGCCTCAAGGCCTTTGCACATGCTATTCCCTCTGCCTGGAACACTCACTCTCACTTTACAAGAATAGCAGCGTCACTTCACTGTTCTTGCTCAGCAAAAATGTCACCTCCTTAGAAAGACCTCCCCTGACTATCTTAAAGTAGATTTCCCCAGTATTATCAGAATACCCTTCAGAAACTTCCCACTGCACTTAGAACAAACACTGCATCATCTGACTCTGGCCTCTCTCCCCAGCCTCCCATGAGCGATGCTTTTCCTTGGACTCACTTGTTTTCAGACATTGTCATCTTTAAGTTCCATGAACACACGACTCCGTTTCCAGCCTCAAGGCCTTTGCACATGCTGTTCCCTCTGCCTGGAACACTCACCCTCACTTTACATGAATAGCAGCGTCACTTCACTGTTCTTGCTCAGCAAAAATGTCACCTCCTTAGAAAGACCTCCCCTGACTATCTTAAAGTAGATTTCCCCAGTATTATCATTTCAGTCCTTCTTTTCATCTCTTCACAGTGCAGGTGGTGGCAACTTTATTCATTCTTTTTTTTTTTTTTTGGTCTCCTCAAATAGGAAGGCAGAAGCTGTGTCTTTTCACCATCAAATTCCTAGTACCTAAGCATTTAGTCCTGGAAATATAGCATGAAATGAATGGATGAACATAGTGTAGATTATTTTAGTTTTCTGACAACATCTGTAAGATCTCAGCTCAAATATGACCTTCTCTGCGGGGCCTTCCCTTGTTGCCCTAAAAGTGAAAGTCACTCAGTAGTGTGTGACTCTTTGCGACCCCATGGACTGTACAGTCCCTGGAATTCTCCAGACCAGAATACTGGAATGGGTAGCCATTCCCTTCTCCAGGGAATCATCCCAAGCCAAGGATCGAACCCACGTCTCCCGCATTGCAGGCAGATTCTTTACCAGCTGAGCCACCAGGGAAGCCTTGTTGCCCTCGGCAGAACGAAACCTTTGTTCGCTCAGCACCCTGGTGGCGCCATCGTGACACCCAGCTCTTCCCCAGGCGGGGAGGGGAGGCAGCGGGCTGGAAGAGTGTGGCCTTGGCCGCGCAAAGGCCTGGGTCCACAGAGCAGCCAGTGTCACATCCGGGCTGCTGCAGTTTCCCCCGAGTTTCCTCACCTGGGAGGCGGGGAGTTTCTCGTGAGGATGAGATAATGTGTCTGGCATAGGGCAGGTCCCTCCGAAGTGGTAGCTGTTAGGTTTTAGAATGAGTTAGTCACATAACTCTCTTGCTCAAGAGCCTGGAGGCCCTTGGAGAGCTGGCCTGTGTCTTGTTACCCATGCTGGTTAGGGAGGAGAGATGGTGAGTCCCCCCGCACACCCTCCACATGCGTGTCCAGGGCATGGTTTTGCTGACTAGTTGGCCAGAGGACAGTGAGAAGGGGGTCTCTGTGGGTGAGCCTGGCCTACAAGTTCCAGGGAACAGGAACAGAACTGGTCTGAAAAGCAAGCGGATGTTTTTAGTGATGCCCCCGTCCCATGAACGGCACAAACAGGTGAGCCAGGGACACAAGAAAAATCATGGGATCTTAGCTCGAACTGAGTATCCTATTGCCCAGAGACGCCATAGATTTGTTTTGCAACACTGCTTGGAAAGGACTGGTTGGGCGTTTTTCAACCTGAATCCTCTTCCTTCCAGCATTGGTCCTCTGTTGCATGGGTGACAGGGACTGCAGGACACACCAGATTCCTGGGAAGTGCATCGAAGGTCATTGCCTGACCCTCACTTGGTCATAAGTGAAGTCTACTCTTTTCTGAGACTCTTGGTGTCAGTAGATGCCGAAGCTGCCTGTCCAGTCCACCCTCTTCCATGGAGCTTCTCGAACCGCTCCACCTGCTGCAGACCTTCCCCCAGGCCTATGAGCAGGAGACTCCCCTCTAAGTGAAGCAGTGTCCGCCATCTCGTACTGTGTTCTGTCTCAGGAACTCGGGGTCCTGGCTTCCTCTGGAGGCAGGATGTTGCCACCGGTCAGCTTCCTGAGCACTTCTGGGGACAGCCCACACCAGGGGAGCCTCTACTCCAAGGCCTTCCTTAGTATATGTCAGTGTTTCCCGCACTTCAGGCACTTGGGTCTCACCTTCATGATTTTTGCTGTAGTATGCTTGCAACTAGAGTTGTCCTTTGGTGTCTGAGGGAGGTGGGGGCCAGGACCCCCACAGATACCAAAATCCAAGACTGCTCAAGTCTTTTATTTTGATAAAATGGCATGGTACACGTGGCCTTCTGTATCCGTGGGGTCTGCCTCTGTGCATTCACCCAGTCCATCCCCGGCTGGTTGACTTCTTAGATGCAGAACCCGCAGATACTGAGGGTCGACTATACTTAACATTGTTGCCTCATATTTTTCTTTGAACCTACTCACTTTTTCATATCAATAGATTTATTTAAAATGGAAAATTTATACCACTGTCTGCTTTATTTCAACTGCTGGTGTCAACTGCCATGAAATGATACAAATAGTATAAAACAAAACAAAATCACTTTAGGCGTTTCCACTAGATCTACCCAAAATTTGAGCTTGAGGCCTTCTTTCTCTTTGTTGAAAGACAGAACAGCAAGTTTAGAGATGTGTTAAATTGTGACTTTTTCCTTGAAAATAATCAGGAAGTTTGAAAGAGAGTTGAGAACAAATGATTGATTTGAATGAATGGTCTTAAGGCTATGTCTGAGTACCACCTAAACCAAAGTGACTAGAGTTACTTTATACAGTACTTCAACATTTCTGAGAGACTGAGTTTTAAATGTTCTCAGCACAAAAGAGAATTGTTAATTATGTGACGTGATCGAGTTGTTACCTAAAACTCTGGTGATAATCATATAAATGTATGAAATCAACACATCGTATACCTTTAACTTACACAGTCATAAGCAAGTTTATCTCAAAAACTAACTAATACACAGTGAAGGCACAAAGTGTTTTACCGAGATTCACTTACCTATCTTTACAATAATATTATGATGTTGGATTCTAATTATCCCCCTTTCACAGTTTAGGATGTCAAGGCATCAGGAGGTTAGCTTGCCCACGTTCATGCAGCTGTTGAGTGGTAGGGGCCGAATTTGAACCTAGCCGCCTGGTTCGGAATGCCTTCATCTCAAAGGCTACTTTCAGCAGGCTCTTGGAGATCCCCATTCATCTGAACACTTTGGGGATGCTGGCCATGTGAAGGGCTGCAGGGAGTGAGGCCTGACCGCCTCATCCCTGGGTGTGGTGGGTCTGCCACAGACAGAGCTAAGTAACCCATCGACCGAGCTGCTTCCTCTTAGGGCCTGGAGCTATAGTCATCACTGTGGCAGTGGCGCTTCTGTCTTTAGCTCTGTTCTCTTCCTTGAGTGCCTGTGGGGAACCAGGACGTGGACACAGATATGTCCCTTGCTCTCCAGGCACCCCCAGTGGTCCAATGGGGGCATGAGGCTGGACTCTGAAAGACCTGCATGATGGAGTGCTACTCTGGAGGGGGGCACGGCGGGGTGGGCTGGGCTGCAGGCACCTCACTCAGGTTGGGAGAGGTCGGTGGGGGTTAGAGAGCGCCTTCTGAAAGGAGGAAGGAAAGAAGGGAGGTGCAGAGCGGGGGGAAGCGGAGAGAAGACACAAGGCGGAGCAGCTGGCTGTGGGCAGGGCAGCATGCTTCTCAGCTCCCTGGAAAGCCTGGGCAAGTCTGGGTTCCCCAGACTCGCTTGCTCGGAAAGCCCTGGGCCGCCCCGCGGGGAAGAACCTGAGCTGACGCTCCTTTCTTGTTGCTCTTTCCAAGGGACACGGATTTGCAACGTGTGCTCAGCAGCCGGTGAGAGCCTCCCATTCGGAGAGAGAAATGGATGCTTTGGTGCCCGGCCATTCTGCCAGAGAACCGAAGGTCACTGCAGTTTGATTTTTACAGACTCTGTACCACTCTTGCACTCCGAGGTGCAAGGTTGGCCAGCGCAGCGAGGTCATTTTCGGGGTGAGTTTATTTTAAACCCCGTACTGCCAGTTGGGTCAGATTTTTACGTGATGATTTTGTGTTCTGCATATAAGGAAGTACTACTGCTTGTTGACCTCTGTGAATATGCCCAAAACATCTTGCTCCAGAATAAACTCGTGCTTTGCTGATGAAATGAGACATACTGGGGCCACACTCAGAATAGAATGTCCTTGGCCTGGTGATCCCCTGTGAGCCGCTGACAAGAGCTGGAGAGCGGGCACTGCCACGCTCTGTACTTGGAGCTCCTGACTGAGGGCAAGAGCCTCCAGAACATGAAGCCGAAAGGCTGTGCAGAGGGACAGGCCGTGGGGGCGTGCTCAGGCTCCCTGGACTATTTAAAGCGAGTACACACTCTTGTTCAGCATGTGAGAAGTGGCGGTGGAGGGCCAGTTTGGCCCAGGAGGGGAGGAAAAACAATCACAACTCAGACCTTCTACCCAGAGCAGTTTAGGTTGTATCTACGTGGAAAATGGAAGTTGTTTGAAAATCTGCTCAGGACACACAGGCCGGCTGACCGTCACTAGTGAACTGTGCGGCCCAAGTATCCTTTTCATGTGGAATGTGGAGGTTAAGCTGTCAGGGGAGCTTTCAGGTCACTTTTAGATTTTAAGTCGAAGTAAAGGAGAGGTAGGGGCTTCCCAAGTGGTGCTAGTAGTAAAGAACCTGACTGCCAGTGGAGGGGATGTAAGAGATGTGAGTTTGATCTCTGCTTTGGGAAGATCCCCTGGAGGAGGGCATGGCAACCCACTCCAGTATTCTTGCCTGGAGAAACTCATGGACAGAGGAGCCTAGCGGGCTATAGTGCATGGCATTGCCAAGAGTTGGACATAACTTGCTGAGATTATTTTGCTCAGTGTATTGAGCCATGTTCTTCAGCTGCAAGTAATGGAGACTCTCTGGAAATTTGTTGGTAGGATGTTGGGGGCAGTCATGTTGTAGGAACCATGATGGTGGAAGGATACAAGTGCCACTTGGAGATGCAGAACAGTAGGGTTTATTCAGCACCGATGCGGGTGCAGCGGAGTTGCCTCCAGAGGCCGAGTGCCCACGCTTTGTTCTGGGTATCTTTTATACACCACAAACTTCCAAGTCTTTAGGGTTTTCCCACTCAAACAGCTCAGATTCTTCCCCTCCCCAGGCAGCCCAAGTTCCCGCCAAGCAATCAAGATCACAGAAGCGAAAGTGGGGAATGATGAGCCGCAGCTGTTAAAGTAAGATAACAGAAGCGGAAAGCAAAAGGTTGTCATTCTGACTGGGGTCTTTGATCTTACCCCCATCTCAGAGGATTGGAAGAAAAGCTGAATTTCTGCAAAGGAGGGGACCCAGGACAACTCTGGGGACCTGGGTGCTTGTTTAGTCACTCAGTTGTGTCCGATTCTTTGCAACCTCGTGGACTGCTGCCTGCAAGGCTGCTCTGTCCATGGGGATTCTCCAGGCAAGAATACTGGAGTGGGTTGCCATGCCCTCCTCCAGGGGATCTTCCCAACCCAGGCGTCGAACCTAGGTCTCCCACATAGCAGGCAGATTCTTTACCATCTGAGCCACCAGGGAAGCCTGGGGACCTGGGTAACATCACTTAAATGCTGTCTCTGGAGCTTTACCGACATGTCCATCAAAGCCTAACCTTTTCTTGGCCTTGTATCACCCTATTCTGGGCTTCTGCAGTGGCTCATAATGGCTCGTTGGGTAAAGAATCCACCTACAATGCAGGACACACAGGAAATGCAGGTTTGATCCCTGGGTCAGGAAGATGCCCTGGAGAAGGAAATGGCAACCTACTCCAGTATTCTTGCCTGGAGAATTCTATAGACAGAGGAGCCTGGCAGACTACAGTGCATGCAGTTGCAAAGAGTCAGACGTGAAAGAGTGCATGAGGGCATGCCCTATTTTAGCTTTGAAATTTCTGGGTGGCCTGGGGTCTGACTGACTGTGTCTTGGGTGCAGTGCCCACTTGTTGTGCGATGGAGCACAAGGCGCCTCGACTAACAGGCCCATCAAGACATGCAGTGTTGGGGTACGGGTAGGGAGAAAAGGGGAAGAACAGCTCTCCAAAAGAAAGATGTGTTGTTATCTGAAAAGGGGGGCATAAATGCTAGATGGTCTAATGTAACAGATTTCTCTTACTCAGAGATAGTAAATAAAAAGGTGACACTTCGGACTGTCACATTGCCTATTTGTTGAGGTCATAATGAGCATGAGTACAACTTTTGGCCTTCCTAGCCCCATCCTATGGAACATTTGCTTAACTATTGCAGTTGGCTGGTGTAGGGACAAGCATTTCTACATGTGGTCCATGACTTGACTGTAGTGCAGAATCCTGGCTATTTCAGTCGTTTGTCCTATCTGCTATTTGGGTAGAGTGGAATGAACAAGAATAAGTGAAGCCGTAAGGACTGAAATGATGACACTGGGGTCTGTCTTTTCAGATTGGGAGTCATAAATATAACCATCTTTTTTCTTTTTTGGTCAGGGTTCTTTGCACATGTTTCTTGGACCAGCGGAGCAAAGGAACAGGAGAAATACGAAGGACATTCACAGTGAACCTTAAAAATGTCTTGGTTAATTCTTAACTTAGTTAACTCCTTTGCCCTCTTGGGTTAGGTAGGCAAGTTATATTGTTAAATTTCCACTAAGTAGTATTCTTACTATGCACTGACAGTGGAGAAACAACTCTAAGCAGTATTTTCCAAAGCATATTTTCATTTCAGTTCAATTGCTCAGTCATGTCTGACTCTTTGCAACCCCATGGACTGCAGCATGCAGTCTTCCCTGTGCATCACCAACTCCTGGAGCTTGTTCAAACTCCTGTCCATCGAGTCGGTGATGCCATCCAACCATCTCATCCTCTGTCATCTTCTTCTCCTCCCACCTTCAATCTTGCCCAGCATCAGGGTCTTTTCCAGTGAGTCAGTTCTTCACATCAGGTGGCCAACGTATTAGAGTTTCCTCTTCAGCATCAGTCCTTCCAATGAACACCCAGGACTGATCTCCTTTAGGATGGACTGGTTGGATCTCCTTGCAGTCCAAGGGACTCTCAAGAGTCTTCTCCAACACCACAGTTCAAAAGCATCAATTCTT